TGGTCTCACTCCCAGTTCCCTCACTTTGAGTTTGTGGCTTAAAGTGCTCAATCCCTGCTTGCGCTTAGAAGGGCGTTGCGCCACTGTTTCCACAAAGAGGGTTCGTGATCTTTTCCAATTGGCCAATATGAAGAGATGTTTATGTTAAGTGGGGTTGAGCCTGTATATTGCTTGGATTTGTGACTGCAATGCATCAAGCAGAGGTTGTAGGCTGCATTAGGGCTCCGCTATCAGCAGGGGGTCGTGCAGCAAAATCCATTGTACTGTGCTCCAAGATCTATCCTCCCCGCCTTCACTGACCTGCATTGACCAGCGCGTGGTGGTCAATGTTCAAAATGGGACTGGTGTGTAATTAGTAAATGAAGATATCGGTAAGAGGTCTGTCTAGTTCTTATTATGCTCCCTAGCTTAGCATGATCCTTTAAAATATACTTAAAGGGTGATTAAAATGCATCAAATATTATTGATAGATTACAACTGGAGGGACATCTTAAACGATTTCAGCACAATAAAACGGAATACATTCCCATCGCTCCTTCCCATCATGAGCATAACGTCTGGAATAAATGTTTTATGCAAGTCCTTATGTTTTAATGATACATTCTAAGAATGTGCACCTTAACAAATGCACCTCGTACATTCGTTTTGAAGCATTATAGAAGTTCAATTGATGGCTGCAAGACATTTTACTGTTTATTTGATCCTCTTCATATACACTGCATACAGTACATTAGTTTAGTTCAACGGCTTGCCCCTTTGTGGGAACGGCATTATTAGTTGGTTTGAGAAGCAGCCAGCATTTCAGGAGGAATTCCAGTGGGTAAATATTACAATGCAGCGTGGTTTAATAGTGCAGCACTAATTAGCAAGTTGGTGGCACGGATTTCTGGGCTACTTGCCCCAAAGTCATTCAGCTCCCACGTCCTTTGGGTAAGACAAAAAAATACATTTTTTTTAACCATTTCACTTGCAATTATTTTAAATTGGAGTAGCAACGCAAGGTTGCTGTGCAAACCATTGTTTGCTTTTGTGCATGCGATATTGTTTATAGCACGCATTTAGCATGCATCTTTGTCTGCTTGTGGACATTCAAGATCCCACAATGTTCCGTGTAAGAGCCACCTAATTAAGTGACTTGCCATCGTGTCTTGGTTGGTATTGCTTTTTTTAGTTCCAACTCGTGCACGTGATGGAACCCACGTACTACGTGGGATGCAAAAACCTATACTGCCAGTTATGTTGCTCCTGCAGACTTGGTCCTTTAGAAAGCTGGTCATTTCGATCAGAGGAGTTGCCCCTGATACGGGCGCTAAAAGTGTTCGCTGTTACGTGTGTCATCAAAAGACGATCTCTTAACGTGTTCTTGCAGCATCACACCTGGTGCTCGCAACTGCCAACTGCCCTGCTCACGTCAAGTGAGATTTGGGGCAGGGCATCTCACTAGATGGGGAGATGTGGCCTGTGGTTAAGAATAATTAAGGCATTTCATCCAAGGTAGGAACACAATCTGACAGTGCGTTTGCGGCAGAGATGGAGCTATGAAATAAGTGTGTGTGCAAGTGCTGGATGGATTGTTGCATCGTGGGACTGGGGAGTTGGTGAGAACATGTGGAGACCTTCATCCAGCGGTGGAGAGATCATGGCTGACGATGAAAAGTCACTTTACATTTCCACAAAAAATGCTTCAAATGTCATTCCCTGATGAGTAATACAAATAAATGCAAACATATTGTGTGTAAATACCTGAAATAATTAGGCTACAGATAACTATTAAATTGAATGTAAAATTTGCATGTATTTATCAAAATTGCAGACAACAAAATAATCAAGGTCATTCTTTTGGAAGCGATATTGATATTAAAAGGATTTTGTGAAGAAAACTTAAAGCATTATTTTTGCTCTAACACTTAAACCTTCATGAACTTTAATAACATTTCCTGAGTGTATTAATGCATAATATATAAACGACTTATTCGTGTGTAAATGAATTGTATGTACGTCTAATACTGCTATAAAGTGTTTTTTTGTTTTGTGTTTAAATATTGGTGTTTCCGTCATTTAGCACTTCGTCATATCGCTGTACCTTATGTTTATATGCAATAACATGCCATCCAGTTGTTCATTATGTTCTGGGCTAGCTTGTAGCCGTGCATATAAATAATGTAAACATTTTCAGGGTTTCTGATATAGGTCCAGTGGGAAATTATGTGGCTATTTGCACTTTAATAACCATCCCTAGCGCTTTGCACAAAACAAGGTTCTGCATTAGAAATGTGTGCCTGCTGCACATTTGCCTAAACCCTGCCGCTGGGATCTGTTCTTTAACACAGTGCTTTTAGTGCCATTGTAAACATTTTCCATTGGTGTGCGGGTCCTCAATGTACTTTGTAGTACATTATAATGGGCCTGCAGTGGTGATTTATTAAATAGTCCCCCAGCAAAGTTCATGCATGGCCTTGAATTCTATGAAACCTTTCACCATATAATTATGCCTGCCTGAAATTTGCAAATTTGAGTTATTATTTAACAACTTTGATACCCAATCTACAATGCAGCTTTTATTTAAATGGTTTTCCCATGTGCACATCATATAGATACGGTTTGTCTCGCATGCATAGTTTGTTGTATAACCTTTCTATTATCTAGTGCTTAAATAATGCTTAATTCAGTCATAGAGCACCAATTTCTAGTTTTCATTTGCTTGATATATAATCTCTACAGCATTTATAAAGAGTTCCTATTCAGAGTTATTTTTACTTATCTAATTATGCAAAATTACTTGTATCGTCGAACTGACAAGGCCGGAAATGCTCACACTTCAAATAAATGTTGGGCTAAATGGCAGGGTGGTGTAGGTTTATTTAATTTTCTTGTGTTGGAAGCTGTGATTTTTAACATCTGTCATGGCAATTAACAGCACTCTGTTCACTATTTTGGTGTCATTGGTGTATGTGTAGAGATCACATTAGGGTCCTCTTGTGATGCAGGCTTAGCGTCAGTGCAACACCACTGCAATCAGTGTGAACTCATTGCCAGCCACATGGGACAGACAGAGTCGTGCCAAGTCCAAAGAACAAACTCAACTGTGCAGTCTTCCCAAGATCACAACCTCGTCCAAGCTGCGTGCGCGATAAATTTGATGTCGCAGCAAGCCAGAAATCGCTGCCCAAAGTGGAACGCTGATGTGACCAGCAGGAGAGGAGAGATTGGTGTGTGTTTGTAAACCTTGCCATTTATAGAAAGAAGAAGAATGTTGGTGGGTGATCTCCCACTTTGTATTAGCTTCTCTTTGAAATGTCTGTGGATGTCAGCATAATAAAGTACACAGGTGTTCATTTTACTGAACTTGCAAAATAGGCACACAAATAAAAGATGTACTTTAGGGTTGTGGATGATTACCAGGACAATGTATGTATTTGTCTTGTAAATAATGGCATGTGAAAGGATTATTCTGTCGAGTATTTGATAACGTTAGGTATGCATCTTGACTTCAAACGGCACTTTTTATGTTCATTCGGGGTCTGAAGCACCTCATGCACTTTTCAGGGTCCATTGCTTGATTTTGGTAACCACGTGTTTCCCCTTTCATTAAAATACCAGCGCGGTTGACACTAGCAGGATGAATACAGATACATTTCCACACAGACGATTCTGTGTTCCTGGGGCTGCATGTGGTAATGCTTGCGAGCTCTCAAGGCTTACGGTCGAGTGTCATTCGACAATGTTATCACAGCACAACAATGCTGTGTTTTTGTTTCTAGAAGCGAGATGGCTGTGACTTTGAATCGCAAAAATAAAGTGTTTTTTTTCCCATTCTCAGTATTTTCTAAATTTTAATAACATGCAGCAGCCACACAAGGTGAGAGTGTGTGCCAAAGTTTGGCAGTGACAGATGTGACTCGAAGAAGCATTACAGTTGCAAGGTGCCACTGGTGTTGGCATTAGAAGATTTGGCAGATGGTCAAGTTGTGTCCTGCCATTAGCGGAAATACAGTTTTCCCAGGATACACTAACAAAAATGTTTGAATGCTTTCGTGTTATTAGTGACCATAAAAATATAATTAAAACAGGTAAAGTGCTGGGCAGTAATTTAATTTTATCTAATTAAAGGTTTACGCCTGTGGTTTACACCCAAGATTAACGACGCGTTATATAATTTCCATCCAAAAATACCAAGAAAAAAACTTATTACCGTTTTCCCAATATTAATATTATTTAACATACCGCTAAAGTTTCACTATTTCTTGAAATGGTAAATATATCTTGAAAATGTTTTATTGTTCTCACTCGGTAGGCAATATTAGCTATGTCAGGCCTGTTCTCGTACATGTTTCTTATGGTGAATTCCTAAGAACGTTGTCCAATGATTGCTTTTTATTGCACACTTTTATTTAACTTTCCCTGTTGTCTTTTAATAATCTTTCAAATCTTTGACGCTTAATCTCATCGGATCTACGGAGCCAAACGAGCTGAGATTTTGTACAGACTCATTTGCGCGTGATAATTCAAGATTTTATTTCAAGAACTGGTCCAGATCCCGCCGATCCTAGGGCCTCTTGGTGTTTTTTTCTTAACATTTTTTGTAATTAATACTAAGAGATCAAATTGCCGTATGTTCAAGTAACTTTGGGCATTCTCCTCCATGGAAGCTGAGAAAAGCAGTTAAGTGGCTGATAAACCAGGCTTTTATGCCATTACATTTTTATTGTTCAAAATTTCCAAGTCAACTTTTTTGTAAAGGGAGAAAATATGACTACAATTATACAGCGCATGACTCGAATTGCTTAACGTCAATGTGATTTAATGTGCTGGATTTACGGATTGAGGTCTGACGAAATGGCCTCATCTCTATGAGAATGTGTTAGGATAACATCAATTTGTAAAGCTTGAGGATATGAAAATTTTACTGTAAACATTTCCCATTATTTATCCTTGTTTCAGAAATTTTACCTTCTGAACTCACCGTTACTGAGCTATACAACTTGTGTTTTATTTCATAGCCCATCTCTCCTTGCCTCCTCGGGTGATGACTGTCTCGTGGCTGTAACCGACGTGGAAAATGATCTGAAGAAAATGTGAGTACTTTGTGTGTCGTGCACACTTGGGGATGTTGTGGGATCTATATGTAGTGTTCTTAACGGAGACACACACTTGAACTTGGAGGCAACACGTTTATTATAACACCCCAACAGGGTAACTGCATAAACGTACACTTGGTTTACTAGACCACAACGGGGTAACTATACCACAATGGGGTAACTACATAACGGGGTCAGTCAGTAACATACTGCCTGACCCACGAAGCCGAGCGTAAAGACCGAAGACCGACGATCAAAGAGACGTAGCACCGACGGGTTCCATTCCAACAGACAGCCTCGATCGCTCTCAGGACTTCCCTTTATGCTCCCAAGCGTGGCCTCACGCCGCCTTCGGCCATGCCCCCTTCTGGATCTTACCAGAAGGTTCTCGACCAAGCATCACGTGTCCCTCGAGCCCCCTTTTGGGCCCCCTCACTACCGTGTCCCGGTCACGCGCCCTCTTGGGTTCACCCAGACTGTCACGTCCTTGTCCCTCCCTCAGACCGTCACCAGAACTAATGCCCCCTTGGGTCCCGCTTCCATGCCATACCCACTCTGGTGCCAGAAAGAAGCCCAAGGCGCACAGTTCCACTCTTGTGACAGTAGCTGGCGCTAAACACCATAGTGACTCAATTTACGTCACTCCATATACAAGGTGTTCACGAAGGTATCGTCGATTATTGAATATTTATACGGATATTTAAGGCCAGTAAAATAATACGCATCGAATTGACTTTCTACCATATGAGCTGTTTTGACCGGTTCACCATTAAAAAAATGGAGTTTGTTAGCTCAAACGGGTGTTACTCAAAATAAACCGATTGACTCACTGTTTCATCTCTCCAAACCTCCACGTGCCTGCCACGTGGTTGGCAACACACAGCATGCTGAGGCTTTCACAATGGCGGTTTGTAAATCGTCATCTTCAAAAATATATACATTCGCAAATTAATTGTGAAGCTTTGACAGATTGTACATTTTCCAAGTAAAAAATTCGATCATTAAAATATTTTACATGGCTAAAACTTCATTTAATATGTATTGCTTAGATTAATTTATAACTTTTGCTGTAATTACTTGCATCACGTTATTGCTATTATGGATTTTGTTTAAAATAAATCAGGTCATTAATATGCATCGCTGTTCCTAGGTAGACTCCCTAATAGCCCTATTGCAAGCGTCTTTTATATCGGTTTTCTAATTTCAATATTGAGGTTGGAACCGAAATTCATTATTGGCATTTTAATTAATCAAATTGCCCTACCATGAAACTGTTCAGTGATGTTCGGGAAATAATTACGCTGATTGACGTTTATCTCTGACAGGCAAATCTTTGAGATTATTTGATGTCTTTTTGCAAATAGCACGATATCTGGTGAGATAGAAAAATAACATTTGTATAACGTTTGATAAATAATTTGAACAGTGTAAAATTTATTCTGCCAATGTTTACTGAGTGTGAGTAATAGACAGTAGTACAATTATTGCTAGAATATAAAACATTGTTTCTCAAGGAAACATGCCCTATATGTTATTTATTTACTATCAATAAATGACAGTATTTGGAAGTTGGAAAATTCACTTAATTGTAATTTGTACACTGTTTATTGCCTGACTGAGTATATTTTGCAGCGAAAATAAATTGTTGATATTTGGATAGTTATATAAGCATATTCGGCATGTCCCAACAAGGGTACACTCCATAACACCATTAGCTTTCACATCCATTGTGTAACTGGAAGCAATGCTTTTGCTGCACAAAATGTCCACCAAACCAACCTCTAATTCCCCTTGGTTCTTGTTTGCTTTAGTCTCTACTCATCCACCTTCCCTCATGAATTGCACGTATGTGGAGAATAGACTGTGTATCAACAGAAAAAGTGATGATATTCTAACCCCCCACCTCAAATAATGCTTGTCGACACATTTCATCTTGCTATATAATCTCTGCTTGAGGGATAGCATTTTCACAAGTCTTGGAAGAGGTGGAAGAGGAATGATAGCTTAGTGCACCGTTGGAGAATACAAAGAAAAACGCCACCTTTGGGATTATCATGTACTGTTCAACCACTATCGACTGATGGTTTATGCATTTAAAACAACTCCAAAAAGAAATGTTTAGCATTCATATGCCAATGTTGTAGCATTTGCATTTATTTCAGCATAACAATTTAAGCACGCACGTTTTGTCAATCGATCACGGAATTAGCAATGTCGAAAGGTGGGTTTGAGAAAAGTGAATTAATTGTCCACCGTAGAGATTTGTAATTTTAACACGTAGGCTTTCGCGACCAATATCATCCATAATAAAGGTTTTTGGGTTAGATCGCGTAAATATATAAATGTGTCCGTTAAAACCCTCCACCACCCGACACAGCCAACTGGTAAGGGTTGTTACGTAAACAGAACATGCCAATTCGTCGCTCGCAGGGTTATTTTAATAAACACAATAGACAGGAAGGACAAGTTCAAAGGGCTCGCATCATGCACATGCATAATGTAGCTTGCCTCAGTAATACCCCCCCCCCCCCCCCCACATTGTGCAAGACTGCAGTAGCGTGGTCAACACATCCATGCCTCTATATAAGGAACGAAACGGTAAGAATTCTTCTTGGTTATTTTGGTAAAGTCACGTAGAATTTATTATTTCCATTCTACGTGACTTACCGAAAGAACTAAGAAGATGAATCCCTGCAGTCACAAAAGCTTTAAATCGAAACAGAAAGACTTCTCCACAAATCTGGCTGTCGCCTGATGAAGCTAGTTGTAATTACTGGCGAAACGTCGTACTCGGGTTGTAAATGTTATGGCTTGGCTCTCCAACACACTGGTGTGCTGTACTAGTGACGAATTGGCCACGTTCTGTTTGCGTAACAACCCTTACTAGTTGGCTGTGTCGGGTGGTGGCGGATTTTAACAACACATTTATATATTTACGCGATCTAACCCAAAAACCTCTTATGGAGATTTGTAATTATTTACACCACCCCCCTCTCCTCTGAACCCGCCCCCCCCTCTCCCCATCCATAAAGATTTGAGGACCGATCTCACAGTGACTTTGTGCACGGGCTGGCTTGGTGCCCACTGCAGCGCGGGACGTCTCAGCACAGCTGGGTGGGACCACCGCGTGTTACACCACCATGTGCCAAGCTCCCCAGATGGAGGAGGCGAGCCCCTCTCTGAGGAGACTGTCCCGATGGAAACTGCCAACTGCTTGAAACCTGAACAACTTTAGTAGCACTGGTGATGGCAATGATGTGATCGGTTATTTTGCCAGTGATTAAAATATGGTCATGTTCACCTGTTCGCAACAATTTTAATGGAGTGCGAGTTTGCTTTTAAACTTTCCAGAATTTTGACGTCTGTACCTAACAGCGAATTGATGTATACATTTCCATGCGAGTTTCTGTTGATTTGAGTAGGACATTAAAAACAGCGCTTCATAACCGGTGTGTCACAGCAGCAAGCGGAGACACAGACAAAGACACACACAAAGACACGTGGACACGAATACACTCGCACAAATAGACACACAGATACGAAGAGTCAGAGATGCGGAGACATAGACACGAAGAAACACAAACGGAGAACCACATACTCGTACACACGGAGACACACGGACATACAGAGACACAGACACAATAGTAACAACCTCCATTCGCCACTAAAGTGGTGGTGATGTTACCTACTGTGCTTGTGCCAGGCGAGATACAATTTGAGGCCACGGGAAGTGTCGAAGGCTCGCTGGCAGGAGGTCACGGAAGACCCATGTGCCATTGGTTGACTGACTTGAGATGACATGTAGTTGCACCAACTGTGGTCCCCACTGTTCTCATCTGTTCCGTCTTAGCCACCTGGCACTATACTCGTTGAGCGTCGCTCCTCCACGCTCTGTTGTTGCTAGAGGACGACTGCCTCCAACTACCCAGTAGAATCCTTTATGAATTTCCTCCACAGAGGTCGACCCTGACACCGCTGGTACCAGTCATTGGCAAATCCAATCGGCTCCACATCCTTCTGTACCACCTAAGTCCATCTCTTCTCTTGCCTGTGTCATGTCATTTTAGCCTCATCTATCCGGCCAAACAGAAGCTGCTTGGGCATGCTGTGGCTCGTTATGCAGGCTACATGATCCAGCCAACACAGCATCACCTGCTGGAGGAGCTCACTAATAGGACTGTGGTCAGATCGTTGAAGGATTTTTGAGCTCACACGATACAGCAGTCTTGTTAAACCCAGGATGGATTGTAGACAGGTTAGCCTGAATGTTTCAAAATGGCACAGGTGTTGCTTTAGAGGGCTCCATGTTTCGCAAGCTTTGTATGGAGCGACAGGGCACATAGCTTTCACACAGCATTACACAGCTGATGTAAAGATAATGCCGCTCGACTGATTCGGAGCGAGACCTCTGCTGCCAAACCGGAGCTGGTCATAAGCACACTGCCGAGGTAAGAAAACTTCTCCACTCTTTCCACAACTGCCCCATCGCTCATGGGGAGTGGAGGGAGGGGTGCATTTGACATAAAATACTCAGGCAGCTCCTTTGTTTTTGCGGGGCTGATGGTAAGGCCACATCTCTTTGTAGCATGCTCTAGGTCCAGCAGTAGCATATCTAACTCCTAAGATTGGGCCAGCAATTACCAGATCATCTGCATACATAAGGCTGACCAATAGAGCCAACCTTGACCCCACGCGAGCATAGGCTACCAGTGTATCTATACCAGATGGAAACTCCACCATTACATCCATTGGAATCTTCTCCAACTACGTGGTCAAAGAAGAAGTTAAATACTGTCGGGGCCAGAGGACATCCCTGTCGCACCCCAAGGTGAACAGAAAATGGCTTTGAATCCTGGCCACGCAGCTTTACCCGGATCTGCCCACCACCATGAAGGTCCTTAATGAGTGTGAGCAGAGGGGGTCTAGGACTCCTGAAAGCACAAAGAATTACCCAGAGCCCTGACCTACTGAGGATATCATAGGCCTTGACCAGATCAATAAAGCAGGGATGTAGGCCCTGTTGAAATACACTCACACAGACATAAATGATCCCCCATATAGCCTTTAACAGACTGCTGGGTCAAGGGCTGTTAGCGAGCACAGAGACACAGACATGGAGATGCACAACGACACCTAGACCCTGACACAGACACGAATACATTTAAGCAGTTAGGGAAACAAAATTTGTCACGGATTTTGGCAGCGCCACTTGATGGGTATATGCATGGGGTCGTGAGTTATCTTGGTTACAACACAATTCCACTCACCCACCCGGGCCCACAGTAATTGTTTGGTATGCCGCGAATATCGAGCAAGCTCGAAAGTGTGCTGTGGAGTGAAAGGTTGAGAAGCACTGCATAAAAAAAAATCAAATGGTTCGTCTCATCCTAGCCATATTGATGGCTACAGTGATTCAACCTCGGAACAATATTTCACATGGAAGTGATGTTCTTCGTGTTTATGTCTACGCACTAAATTAGCTGCATTTTGTTTGGAAATTCGGTGTCGTGTTCATGGTTATCGTACCACAGGCTCCTCGTTGAAATAATAAAGTGCTTCCGAGCAGTTCTTGAGTTTGTCATTCTTTGCGTGCCATTGTTTTGGCAAGGGTTGTGAAACTGTTAGAATATTATATGAAGACCACACGCAGAAACGTTTGTCTAATGAGCATTTCTATGCTAGTTGTCAAAACAGTAGGCATAAAAACAAACCTCTTGAAGCTCAAAGCACAAATTCGATTCGCCACAAGAATGTGCTATTCCAGCTAATTCAAACGTACAATGTTAATGGTGGCATTTAGATTTAAAGCTTTCGTGACTGCAGGGATTCATCTTCTGGTGCTTTCGGTAAAGTCACGTAGAAGGGAAATAATAAAATACAAATAAATGAAACAAACGTAAAATCTACCTGCTGATTTCATGTTGGTGTTCAAGTGATCATGAAAGAAAACTGCCACCATTAATCTTCTTGGTTCTTTCGGTAAAGTCACGTAGAAGGGAAATAATAAAAAAGAAAACAATTTTATTATGTTTTAGAACCCAGAAGATTAATGGTGGCAGTTTTCCTTCATGATCACTTGAACACCAACATGAAATCTGCAGATAGATTTTACGTTTATGCTAATTGATCAGATCGTTTGAGTTACTTCCATAGAAAAATATGGAGGAAAGCCACGAGTTTTAATGTGTACTTTTGGTGAGTTTGTGGGCAAAAGGCTTATTAGTCTTAGCTTGTTCATGCCCGTGCCGTTTGCCGAGTCTTGTTTGACGCTTAGACGTTACAAGACACGACTGCAGACACTGCATGCTAACGCTCGCAAGGGGCAATAACGTCCATCAATGGACTACGCCGGAAAGTAAAAGACGTATGGACGTGTCCAGAATAGCGAGTTGTGAATTTTAAGGAGTTTAAAATAAAATCCCCCTCCTGCCCTCCCCCCCGTTGCGTGGCTCACGCCTGAAGATCTCAAAAGGGACACGGACAAAAAAACAACCGCGGCACCACATTTTTCACCGCGCCAAATAGCGAATGTACGCACTGCTTTCCGAAAATAGTCGTGTAAAAAGAATGGCTGTGGTGTAAAAAATGATCAAAAGGGTTTCGCCGTCTGGCGTGACAGACGTGCATCAGATGGCGGAATGAGTATCGCCACCCCCAGAGCCAAGTGGATGGCTGGAGGAAAGTCAAATATTCGGGGGCAATATATATATTTTAAAAAAGGTCAATAGTGGCTTCAAACTCTATTATAACCTGATTTCAATGACGACGTAAATTGGAAGTTGATAGATGCCACAGTCTGTATGATGACCTTGCATTTGTTATTTTGCGAAGACAATGAACGTTGCATTATTTTTAGCTGTTCTGAGAAAATGTCCGTGCGTGCCATGCAAGGTTAACATCTCAACAAAATATGTATCACTATCGTGTCATTGACAACATTTTTTATTTGCTAAACGAGATCAGATGTCACGAGTCATCTATTTATAGTCTTAACGTGGAAACACCTTGCTATGTGCTATTCCAAAGTTCTTGTATTTCACTGATATAATTAACGTATTTACGACTTTATAAGATGAGTGATGTTCAATCACTGTCTAAACAACAGGGGTTTTTTTCTTCTAAATCGTCATCCTACATCAATATTTATTTTTGCCCTCCAGGAACCATGCATTCTTGCTCTTGACCAGTTGCTTGGTTTTTCTTGATGCAATGTCGTACTCAGATTGTAAATGTTGTGGATTTGCTCTCCAACACACCGATGTTGCTGTACTAGTAACGAATTGGCATGTTCTGTTTCTGTGACAAACCTTACTAATTGGCTGTGTCAGGGTGGTGGCGGGTTTAACGACACATTTACGCGATCTAACAAAAAAAACATGTATTATGGTTGATGACTTGTATTTGAATGTTGGTAGAATTAAAAAATATATATATCGGGCGGTGCAGTGGTTAACGCACTGCGTTATGAGCCTAGTGACTTTATTTCATTTCCCAGTCACGTAGCATCAATGACAAGTGAACCTGAACTATTTCTGGAAATCCTCCCACTACCTGAAAACATCAAATATACAAAACATTTTCTTAATCTTGGTCATTAGAAAAGTCGAATCTTACATGTTGTAACATGGACTTAAAGTCAGTGTTATTAGATGTTTTTTGTTTAGTTTGCTAAATATTGTTTTTTTTACTGAAACATAGGATAGATCACCAATAAAATGAATACGTATTTGCATCTGGCTTGAAATTGCTTCTCTGTTAAGCAGCTTTATTTTTAAAGTTAACTATCCAGCAATACAATCTCGTATTATACATACCACGTGTCCTCACTTCTGCAGACGGTCAATATTTTGGACTAAAATTGCGACGAGAAGAGGCGTGCAGCAGGAGAAATGTCTTTCCAATATGTTGGCGATTTCCCATCATCGGCCGTTGACATTGTTTTTTCACACTTGAACGCCACTCCGTCGCCTCTGCCTCCAGAGAAGGCCAAGACAACATCAACAACACAAAAAACAACAGAAGCTCCCCCAGGATATCAATCATAACAATAGCCCCCCCCCCCACCTCAAAAAACCGACGTCATTTCTGCCTGCGAGACATTTCGGCTCTTTTTCGGTTTTCGAGGGCCCGTTGGCACAAAACTCTCGGCTTTCACAATTGGGGGGTTATTTTGCCTCTCGTAAATGCCATTTTCACATTTCCGTGTGGCCAAATGTCCGCAACATGCATTTTGTTTCGCACCCAAATTGCAGAGGAGTTGGCCGTTGTCGGTCTCGCGTGCATTGGAGAAACCACAGTCGGAAAGAAATTGGCCGGTTTGGGTTTTTGTACCCCCTTTGCGGGACCGCATACAGCTATCGTGCTGTGACGGTTCCACCTGAAGACGGAAGCTTGTGTTGCCTCCGAAACGTCGTGATTTTTATTTTACTTTTTATTTAACTTTTTTTATTTTACTTTATTAATTTTAATTTTTTACCTACGTGACTTTACCGAAAAAATCTAAGAATATTAATCCTTGCAGTCACGAAAGCTTCAAATCTAGAATCAACATCCAAGAGTTGTGACGTTCTGTAAAGTGGGGGCATCTCTTGCGACGTGCAGATACATATGTCAGGATCACGCCGAGAGGAAAGACGCATAAAAGCCTCGAACCTGCCCCCCAAAAATAACCTGGCGAAGGTGCAAAATATGCACAGGCCAGCTGGCCTGCCAATCTTTTTTTCGCATGTCCACCACCCGCTCGGGCCAAAGCCACAGTGACAGAAGCTGTCCCATATCGCACACAGATTGCGTATAAACGTGTTCACAGTCGGTAAACATTTTTTTAAATATACGTTTGTAATTATTGCAGCGTTGGTGTGAGCTCCCCGCGCCTGTCAGGGTGATTTGTGAAACCCAGGAGACAGCACTCCACGTCAGCGGGTGGGGGGGGGCCGCTACGAGGGCATCGAACCGGTTTGCGTTCCGGTGCGGTGCGTGTGCACTGAAACCCAGTTTGAACCGGTTAAATTTCATATATTTTCTCTAAATTCATAAAATGAAGACCTATTTGGTTGAAATTACAGGCTGAAATGTAGGCTACACGGGAGGGTTTTTTTTGATAATTGATTGGCAAATTTGTAATGTTTATTGCAACATAAAGAAACGTGTTTGAGTTGCTTCAAACACGGGTCTCTTTCTGTTGCAACTTGCAGCACAGAAACTGAGACGAAGATGCAAAGCCAAAATGAAATTGCAAAGGCGGGGAGATGCAACGACAAAGGGAGATGCAAAGACAATGGGAGATACGATGACAAAAGAAGATGCAATGGCAAAAGGAGATGCAAGGACAAATGCTATCAATTAACAGTAAAATTTACTTTAAGGGGATAACCTATATCTAAATGTGTTCAGGAGTAGCCCGTAGTTAGCGCTACAGTTACCCCCTTAACATTAACGTTTACTGATAATAGATTTTCCTCCTTTTTTCTGGCAACAAAACAGGTGTTAAGATGTTAAAACACCAAACTGAAACCTTTTACAAGGAATCATGGCTGCATTAACCACAATGCTTGTGGTCAGAATGCAAACAAAAAAACACTCTGATAATATATGCATTGTCCTTGAAACTGATTGGTCCACACCAGAGACAGCTTTCTTTTGAGCCTCGTCTCAAACGGTGTTAGACCAGAGGACGCCAAAAGGCGTACGTTTAGTGTTAATTAACGTTTACTGTTAATTATCGCTAGTTTGTACATTTAGCGTTATATTTATGTTACTGTGTGCATCTATTGACTTTCGTATGTTTATTTCACCTACTCGTTAGTGTAACCCTCTCTATCAAATTCAGCCCTTGTGTTGCAGAATCATGTGGCTCCGTGTATCAGACATTTCACTGAGTGAGTTACCACGGTCAATGTGCCCTTTGGTTTTCATTCGGTGGAACAAATGCGGTTAAGACCGGTTTGGCTGGAATTCCCTGCATGCAAGATAATTTATTCTTGATCTCTTTCGGTGCTTGGGCAGATCGTGTGGCCTCTTCGGCAGTGTTCAATCAACAAAAAATAAGAAAGAAGGGTGCACAATATCTGACGTGGCATGTTTAGTTTAAAATGTAGTGCAAACATTGTGAAAGGCTTGTCTTCTGGATGACATACAAGGCCCTTTTATGGCAGACCATTTCGTCTGGGAACAAATAACTTGTTTCATTGACAAGGAGGGGTCGCCGATTGAAGGTATCCGATCTGCCAAGGGACTCGAGTCTGATTCCACAGTCCTGATGGGAGGCGGAGACCATGGTGGGCGTTGGTTTGTGCTCAACTGTGCCCTTAGGGCAATCGAAGAGGTTCCCAGAGTGGAGAGGGGCTTTGAGTTTGAATAAAATATTTACTGGTCCCAATGTAACTGTGGGGGTGTTTGACCAATTATTATTTCTGAAATCCATTTATGTGAAGGATGTCTGTCTTTATGTCAAAGTTTTTTTATTTTACCGTTGTATTTTTCACTTCAAGGCCAAGAGATGTTTTCGGTAAGGGGTTCTTCTTTATGGTTTTCAGCTTTTTCTCTACTGCAGAAGTCCAGGAACA